TTTCTGTGAGTGCTCTGAGCATCCGCAAATTATTTAGAACAGATCTAGCATTTATGAGGATTAGGTAAAGATGAGAGTTGAAGTAGCATTTGAAGTATTTAAGTTCGTTAGTCAGCCCCGAATGTGGTTCAGCACCCAGTAATTCTGCTTGACATGAAGATCCTTTGTTGAGAGGGGTTCCAGCATTATGCTCACCTATGCCTGTCGAGTTATTGTGTGCTGTTTTCGGTGAAGAATTAGGAGTTGGAGTACTGGATTTGCTATTGACGAAGGAATTTTTATTTTTAGTTAGGCCAGAGAAGTGGTTAGGGTTCTTTGTTTGACCTATACTTGTGCAAGTGCCAAGTATGCTTAATGGATACGGGTGCACTAGACTGTACCTGTTTTCATGCAAGGAGGGAGCCAGCTCTAGTGGTTTAGGAGTGTCAACATCTCTACCAGCTGTTTTTTCAACGCTGACAGGGACGCGGGGGATAAAAAACGATTGGATCTTTGTGATGACCACGGCTTATTATTCCACCTATTGTTTGATGCTAGTTGTGTTCTTGGGTGGGTTTCATGTGTACTGCATTGTGGGTTGGTTCCTAGCAGACTTGTACCATATATCCGGTCGAAATTTGTTTGTGTGCCATACTCTGAAGACCCTGAGTTGTTGGTAGCCGAGTTCTGATTATTACCACTTGTGCTATTGTGAGTGACATTGTTGTGACATTGGATATTAGTGTGTCCCATGGTGCGATTTAGCACGTTGTGAGTGCTAATACTATTTACCGTGAAGAGTGTGGGCTTATTTAAGCTGCCACTGTTTTTGTTGGTCTGATTTAGGGGCATATCTTCCTTATCTCTACCAATGGAGTCATGGCTACGAGAGGACAATGTCGAATTTCGGGGGATTTCGACTTTTTTCTGGGGTTATTTAGTGGCATTTTGGATTCTGCGGTGATAGGTGGTATGGTTTTTTTATTTATTTGGTTACAGTCTAGTGGCCTTTTGGCTGGTGTTGCACTCTGAGGGGATAATTCTGTGTGTTTTGAGAGGGGTGATTTGGTGGGGTCTACTGTATCTTTCACAGGGTTGGGAGTAATGGCTGCTTGCAATGTCCTATTACTTATTTCACAATTAGTCTAAGTGAGATAATTGTATGCGCGCCTTTCTATGACTGTTTTGTCCACCCCGACCTTTATATGTTTGTAGTTTCTGGCTTGCGATAGGGTGTATTGGGAGTAGATGAATTTTCTTGTCTCTGTCGGTGTTTCGAACTGAAAACGAATAAGACAACACTTTTCATGTTGACTCTTCTTCAGCCTATAGCACTGAGTCTTGGAGTTAGGCATTTTCACCTCACTAAGTAAGATGCGCTGTACCTGTTTTAGTGCCTCATTGACCGGAACGTTGTAGACAATAGCACTCAGTTTTGCATCGAGTCGTTCTGTTACTTCTGTGGTAACAAAGTTAATGAGGTTATCTACCTTAGTTACCGATTCTGTGTCAAGCTTGTTTAAGTTTACAGTTTACATGATGATAGTTAGAAGTCTCAGTTCACAGACATGCGATCTGATATCGCTGATCTGATCTGATAATTAGGATATCTCGATATTGGTTTCGATGTTTCCAGCATTTACTGACTAACTGTATTTTATTTCCCTTAACTCAGCCTTAAGTTCTCCTATAGACAACTTTAGAAGTTCTATTTCTGAAGATAGTACTGAAAAAGAGCTTGATGGTTGGAGTTTCTCCATAAGCACATAAGGTGAAGGAAGGAGTTGTGTATGAGCAGAGGGTACTGAATTTTTAGGAGTAGTGCTAATACTAGCTGTCACTACAGTTTTATCTTCAGTTTCAGCTCGACGCTTACGGCATACAAGTGAGTTATGTGACTCACTATAACCGTTTGTAGGTGGTGTGTTGCTTGATGTAGTAATCAGGGATGTTAAATTAGTCACCAGTTTTATAGGAGATTGGGTTCGTTGCTTCTTACTTTGATTAACCATAACTATTTGATATGAGAGTTATTGTGTACAGGTATGTAATTAGTATAGTACTTGTGCAAGTATTACAACAAGATAAACTTTATGTAACGAATCACGCAAAAATGTAACGCAAACGTTGAACGTACTGCGATACAGATAATTCGTTACGTTTGCGATTGTGTCATCTAATGTACTTTCATAGAATAAATCCCAGTTAGTATTTTTTAACATGCATCTGAGATTGAATAAGTTGTCAGATGTGTAGCATCTTTTTTGTGCTGTCATAGACAGGTTTGAGAGGAATTTAATATGCATTTTTCTGTATATTTTTGGTAAAACACTAACAATAGAGTGGTCAGAGTTAAGTATCGGTGAACGTTTAGGTGTTTCGCATACTCCTTCGTCGTTTGTAAAAACAAAATCGAGTGTTTTGTCAAGTCGAGTGGGAAATTTGACTATGTTTGTATGACCAAGTGCTTCAAGAAAAGAGAAATCTGATAAGCTTAAGTCCCCAGTAATCACAGATAGAGAGTTGTCAAAGTCGGCAGCGGCAAACACAGTGAATTCGTTGGCAAAGTTGGATAGATCAGATGGTGAGCAACTAGGAGAAATGTACATGTTTGTAACAAAGATTTGCTTATATTTGGGAAGATGTTTGGGACGACATTTGACAGTAATACAGTCTATGGAGTCATTTGAGTTTGAGAAGCAAACATTATTTCAAGAAGACCATTTGGAGTGAATAATAGTTGCAACACGGCTACCATTTTTCTTAATACAACATTGACGGTCTTGTCGAAATAAAATAAAGTCCTTTAGCGAGATAAGACTGTCATCATACAGTTCATGTAACCACGTTACATGTAATGTGATTATCGTAGTATTATGATAACTGTCAGTGGACGTCAGAGATTGTAGGTACATTATCTTGTTAGACAGAGAGTGGCAATTTGTGTACATTATGACAGGGACCGTAGTTAAGTGTAATGGTATATGTTTGAGAGCTCTCTGTCAATCACTACGATGCCCCCTCCTTGATTTCTTGGATATATGAAAGTCATTTGCTCGTAAATGATTGATAAAGTTAGGAGAGTTAGAATTTATATTTAGGTGATAAATATATGTGGGTAAACGGTAGATTGGATGCAATATTTACATATTATAATGGCTGGCTAAAAAGTTCTAACAGGCCCCCATGCAAAGCATCAGGGAGACAAAAGTTGCCAGGAAGTATTCCGGTCAAACATGCAGGCTATTTGTTACGCTGTCGTGTCACGTTTGTTCACTTGTGCGCGATTCGTTACTTGTTAGGCGATTATCTCGCACTCCGATTTGGTCCCGAAATAAAACTCGTAATTTGGACGATCAATTGAGCGTTTTGTTTGGCTTTTGGTCTACGTGGAACCAACACTATAGAAGGTTTGCATATTAGATCTTGCCTCAGTATACTCCAAACTGTCCGTGAACTTCAATACCGTCAGCCTCCAAAGGCATGAATCCAGTGAGATTTGATCTGACACAGAAGCTAAATAAGTCAAGATCAGATATTATCACCTCTTCACCGTCTGGTGTAATTAGTGATTTATTAGGGATATTCGCAGTAGTACAGGTTGTGAGACAAGTATCATGGATACCTACCAAGTTACACTGGCTCTTAATAAAAAGTCTGACACCAGCTCCTTTGATGTGATTGATTCCACACCACCCGAATGCCCAGCTCAGAACTGTCAGTCCGAAGGTCCAAACATACATGTAGCCTCACTATCATTTGTGCCTAATGATATCAATTCTTTTGGCTGTGTCAAAAGTAACGATAACTACCTGAAATGCTTCGTAACCATTGACGTCAACCTTGATAATGCTTGCAACACACAGGCAGATTTGCTATCATCTAGATCTATTCAGTTGGGTGCTTCTAGGCAGAGAACACATGTGCTAGTACAGAAATTAGATTGTCGCACCACCGCTACTATTGTCGATAAAGCCCCTAACTTTCAAACTTTCCATCGGCCATCAGAGACCCATGGACGTCAACCTTAGGTCGAAACTGAATAAGCGAATAACTCATTATCCACGCAAAACACATCCACCCAAGTCAATAAACTGGAAAGAACAAACATTCTTCCATTAATTTAATAATTCCCATTGCAGAATTAAGGACACAATATTCAGCGAAGAGACTTTTTTCAACGAATTTATTATCAAGCAGTACAATCGTATATATATGGTTTTAAAGAAATTAAATCCGGTGAGGAAATTAAGTCAAAGGTGCGAATGCATGAAATAATAATAGTATAAAATGCAATTAAAATATTTGCGATTATAATCACAGTTTAATGTCGATTGGCAAAATAATTAATGTCTTATATAGAGTGAAACATAAGGTGTATAGATGTTGTTGGAAAGGGGTACATAGTTATAGGATAGGTAAACGAATATAAAATGTTATATAACATGGTGTGAAATCTGAGAAGATGGAACTCAATATTGTAAAAATAAAAGATATAAAATTAATAATTTTGGGTTTAAAGTGACAAGTGTGTGAAGTGGAAAAGATTCAGAGTAATAACAATTGTAATAATAATAATGGCAATGATATTAGTCGTAATAATAAGGGAAAAGCACAAAGAATAACTAAATAAACAAAATAAACAAATGTCTGTCCCTCTACGGCCAGGGCAGAAGTGGGGATTGTACATACTTCTTTTGTACACAAAGGCCCGGCTTAAAGTCATGAATTGCCAATGCCTCAGCTGTCTTTAATAATAATAATAATAATGTATATTCTCATATAAACATATAAATTTACATGAAAATGCATGCCATTTTTACAGGCACGATCAAGTATGATATAATATCAAATCGTAGATTGTCTACAAGTTAATAATGTTTCAACAGTTAAATATTTGATATATATATAAATACACATTGTCTGAACTAGGCTGTATAGTTATTGAATTGTACAATTGTCCTCCAGGTTGAGCGGGAAAATCGACTTCGTTTCGTTTTCATCCCGTGGTTGTCGGCATACGATAACCAACCAATATTGAGGTAAGTACAACGTTTACAAGGGATTGAAAGCTGTTTTAGAAAAGTAAAAGTGCTGAGGTGAATCATTAAATTGTAATGAAATAGGTAAGTGCAAGTATCATTAATAAATGCATTAAAAAAAGAAAACTCCCTAGGCTGACAACGTTCATTTGCAATGTATAATGCAACACATATACCTCGTACTATCATGATGTCCAATTTTGGTTTTAATACATTTATCCTCAGTTGTGCCAGTTGTTTTTGTTTTATACCTTTTTGTGCATTTAATGTACAACCGTACCCTTCAGAGAGTAGGAATATAATAAGTCATAAAGAGCTGTAAAATGTTAGGTTTAATGGAATATAATGAGGATCAAGTAAAGACGTTATTGGAAAATGAATGAGATAAGACATTGTGAAGTGGTATTTAAAGATCAGTCAATGGACAGCAAGTTAGTTTATAAGATGCCCCATAAATCTGTGCACATCCCACATGGTCGCATCTCAACAATAGGCTGGGCGAATAGTATATATTTAGAGGTAGAAGCATGATCTGTCAAGGCGTTCATTATTATCTTTTTCAAGATAAAGATCTAAGCCCTCATAAAAATCAGAAATATCTCGAGCCTTTAATTTGTGTATTGCTGTTCCTGCAGAATGGGGCGATTCACCTTAGTGACCCCCACCATATCTACTGATCAGCTAACGCCACCCTCCCTCCTTTTTTGATGTTAAGCTCTGAGACTATGATTATTATGGCTACCGCAAATATATTGCTTGGTACCAGACATGTTCGTACCTCATATTCCATCTCCCTAGCTTTCTTAATGAGTGCTTCCAATAGGTCTCCGCGTACATCTTTATGAACATTATATATGTATGCATGCGTCCTAATGAACAGATTACTTTACAAGAAGTTAGAACCTTAAAGAATAAAAAGAATAGGTTTTGTGAATAGTGAAGCAAGATTCAGCAGAACAATATAGTTAGGGATCAATGTAGGTAGTATGAACTGAAGGTAAGGTCGGTTGGCAGGACTTAGTGTACTAAATTATCATGACAGTCTTGTATATAGTAGACATCTGACATTGCAAAGTAACGTGTCTAAACATATTATAAAAAGATATTAACAGAACCAACAAAATTTCAGCATTTGTTTAACAATACTACAGAAGGGTAGTTAGTACTACAGGTAATCGTAAAGTAAATCAATCTATGTATAATAAGAGCATAGTCAGTGTCATAATTCGTATTATCAAAGAATACATTAGGCTCAATAACTGAGTGTTATAAGGGAAACAAGCATGGTAAAGCAAGAGAACACTTGCCGCATAGCTATTTTAATCATTTTAAGTATTTTAATGACAATCGAATTTCAAGTATTGAACCTACATAATTACTAAGTGTTATTATATTGGTATTGGGACTAGTGTACTTTCCGTAGTTAAATATTGAAAAGCCATTGTCTCTCCACTCTACCAGCAGTTGAGATCTTTGAGGCGGGCTAGGGTGGACATGTTTATATGTTTTTCTAGGCTCCTTTTGAAACTGTCAGGCCTTTCACAGGATCTTATCTCAGAGGGTAGTTGGTTCCAAAGTTTGCAATATTTAATGGTGAAGAAGTTAGCTCTAGTGGTGAGTTTATGGGTGTTAACCTTGAGAAGGTAGTTGTGGTTGCGTAGTCCATACGATTTAGGATTAGCCCAGGTTATGGACGAGTTACTGTTACAGTGCTTTCTTATAACTTTGAATAAGAGAAATAAATTGCACTTCACTCTCCTTAACCATAAGGGCTCTAAGTCCAGTCGAATACATCTGTCAAGGTATTCTATTTGCTGACCATAGCCTAATATGCGTTTCGTAAGGAATCTTTGGACACTTTCAACTTTTTTCTGTCTGCCGACTTGAAGCTACTGTATAAGTGGGCACAGTATTCAAGTTTGGGGCGAATGCATATCTTATATATGGCTAATCTGGCTTCTGGAGTGTAAAAGTTGCGTAGCACAAAGCCGGTTAGACGTTTACAATCAGATACCACCTTATTTGCATGTTCAGTAAAGGTAAGATCTGAGTATGTTATCCCGAGATCTGTGACTGTGTTTGTGTTTGAGACAAGGTCACCGTACATGTATAGACACATGCTAGGTTTCCAACGTCCGAAGTATGTTATCCCAGATTTAGCTGGATTGAACGTTAACTGCCACTTTTCACTCCAATTACATAGACTATTTAGGTCTTCTTGGATTTTACTAACAATATTCATATCATTATAGTCAAAATCATAGACAACTTTGAGGTCATCTGCAAAGAGGTATGGCTTGCCATACTTGATCATAGAGACAATATCATTTATGAATACAATGAATAGGGTAGGGCCAAGAACACTACCTTGTATCACGCCGCTGGTTATCGGTTTGGATGTTGATAAGTGATGGTTGACTTTAACTAACTGTTCTCTTCCTGTAAGAAAGGAAGTTATCCACTCAAGAAGCCTTCCACTTATTCCATAAGATAGGAGTTTCAGTATGAGTCTTTTATGTGGGACTTTATCAAAAGCTTTCCTAACATCTAGAAATAATGTTGCTGCCGAACGACCTTTGTCTACACATTCAGTAATGTGGTCGAAATAATCTAACTGGCACGTAATGCACGATCTTCTATTTAGGAAACCGTATTGGAAAGGGGATATTAAGTCATTCGAGAGCAAATACTGAACAATTTGCTTCTTTACAATCTTTTCCATCACACGTGAAACTACGGAAGTAATGTTGATGGGGCGGTAATTATCTATGTCCGCTGTAGGTCCGGTTTTGTGAATGGGTACAACGTAGGATTTCTTCCAGCTATTTGGATATGTTCCACTCCTTATCGAAGTTGAAAATATCTTGAGAAGAAGTAGATTCATGTCATTTCCACCATTTTTTAAGAGGACGGAAGACATTCCATCTGGGCCGGGAGTATTAGTAAGCTTAAGAGTTGTGATAGCTTTATCGATTTCTTGGGCGTTTAAGACTACATCGCTTAGACACTTTTCTGTTTTACGAGGGAAATCTATATCCTGGTCATTTTCTAGAGTGTACAGTTTGGCAAAGTGCGTGCTAAACACCTCACATATATCCTCAGCACTTTCGTGAGTAATGCCACCTAGGTGTATTATTTTTGGATATGTTGATTTGGAGTTAGTTAACCTACTTTTGAAGAGTTTGGCTATTTCTCCAGTGTTATGTGGCGACTGAATTGCCCGCGTTTCTTTATTCCTAAGACTTAGATTTTTTAACTCATGGATTCTAATGAGGATTGATTTGATAGCGATTAACGACGATAAGTCGTCATGTCTATAGTAACTTAATGAATGCTTCCGCAAACTTCTTCTTAATGATATTGGAATAAAATCACCTTGAGGGATTTTGAATTTAATCAGTTTCACAGGCGCTATGACATCATTAACCGACTGTATATTGTCATAGAAGTTTTTAAGGACTTCCTCTAAGGAGTCATTGGTAAAGTAGGAATCCCAATTAGAGTATCTAATCAAGTCCTGATACAAGTCCCAATCAACCCGCGTGTATGGTCTTATAGGTGTCCGACTAACTTCGTTTCTGTGTATAGTTTCTGGGGAAATGTTAAACGAACATGCAACTATTTTATGATCGCTACCTGGGAATTCATGTCCCACATGAATTGTAGATGGTGCTACGTTGATCGTGAATATAAGATCAAGAATGTTATTGGACCTAGTGGGTACATTTATGTGTTGCGTCCATCCTCCAGTAATGATGGAATTAAGAAGATTATCATACCTCGAGGGTCCACGAAGTGTACGCCATGATATATCAGGCAAATTGAAGTCACCTCCAATTATATTATAACTGAAGGGGAGATTGGATGCAACACTAAATATGTTGCTGAGTACGTTATCGTATTCGCGGTTGGATGATGGCGGTCGGTATACGCACCCTATAAGGATAGGTTTACTTCTGAGAACTTTTATTTCGACCCACACCGAATCATTAAGTTGTGACAGAATAGGGTGACTAAAATGCGTTGCACAAATGGGTTGTTTAACGTATATGAGTGTTCCACCCCCACGACCTGTTTCCCTATCCCCTCGAAAAAGATTGTACTTATCAATTGATAAGCTACCATCCACAATGTCACTTGAGCACCAGGCTTCAGTGATCATGATCAGCGACGGATTGCATATAGAGGCTAACGTACATAATGCTAAATGTTTGTTAAGAACTGATCTAGCATTTATGAGGATGACGGATAGACTTTGACGAAGTGGTTTTAGTGTATGGGCAATATCATAATAAAATACTCTATGGTTATCAACTGAATATGTGCAGTCGTTATTGGATTCATTAATTACAACATTTTGATCACTAGAGACGGTTTCTTTAATTTGATAGTTAGGGATGGGTTGTGAAATGTCACTCGTGAGTAGTTGGTCGTTTAGATATTGCGTGCTATGGGAGATACTAGTATGATAATCTATGGTATTACTATTGGTATTAGGTGTGTATAAGATGTTTGCTATCTTTCGGGGAAGAAGCAGTTTCCCTGTTGTAAGGTGTTCGCTATACCAGCAAGGAATTGGTCTGATATCATGCGTGCTATGTGCATGATCCCAGGCGTTTCTGCCAGTTGTCGCTGGAGAAAATTTTGGTCATATGGATTGGCTAGTGTCGTGTAATCTGCATAGTTATAACCGAAATGTGTGATCGGCGTGTTGTTGTGTGCATATGACTTAGATCCCTGTGTCTGATTAGAGTACTTCCTAGGCCATGATGAGCATTGTGCTGAAATTGGCATGTGACCCCTACTGAATGCATGAGAATTATGACAGGGCACTATACGCGTTTTTGGACTAACGTCTGTATTCTCAAACTGATGTTTCCTGTACATCATGGTTGAGGGTGCATTCGTGAGGGGTTGAGCAACTTCGTGTTTTCGAAGTGTTTGGTGAGATATGTGACGATTGTTATTTCTTATCATAGGACTGGTAGTGGAAGTCGGAA